GTAAGCATCCTGCGGAGGCAGCGCTGCAGCCGCCCTGGCCAGGTGCTGCCGTGGTGTGTCACTCCGGTGCGGGTACAGCTTCCCGGTGTCCCGGGGCGAGCGCCCACCGGGACCCTACTCCTCTGCCCCCCCGGGGTGATCGGTGACACGCCGCGGGGCTCAGCCCCTCCAATCGGGAGCTGCTGGGCAGGGGGTCCCCGCAGGGTCCCGCTGAACGGACGCTGCTGGCAGTGCTCGAACCACGGTTTTATTTTGCCGGTAGGTCTGGCAGGAAGGGGCACAGGGTTGTGCCCAGCCCGGCAGCCCCCGGGCAGGGTGCCAGGGCCACGGTGGCCACCGGGTGCTAGAAGAGCAGGGAGAGGAACAGGGCCAGTGCCAGCACCAGCGCTGCGGGAGGGAGCCGTGCTGTGCCGGTGCCGTTGGGGTATCCATAGCTGGTCCTGCACGGCCCCTCCAGTTCCTTGAAGTCGATGGGTGTCTCGTGGGCAGCTGTGCCCTGCAGGGTCTTCTTCACCTGCCGTGGGAACAGTGTGGGCTCCCACCATGAGGGGAATCCACCTGCCACTCCCCATATCCCTGTGCCAGCCCATGCTCCCATTCATTCTCTGCTCCACAAGTTCCCGTGCCACCCTGTGTCTCCATAAATCTCTAAGTGATACACAACCACATGTCCCACCTGTCTCTGCTGCCCCATGTGTCCTCTGCCCCATGTCCCCTGCCCCATGTGTCCCCGTGCCCTGTACATCCCTGCACCTAGGGTACGCTGTGTCCCCATGGCTTCAAGCATCCCTTTGCTCCATACATCCCTGTCCTGGTGTTTCCTATGTCCCCATACACCAAGTGTCCCCATGCTGCAAGGGTCCCCTTGTCCTGCACAACCCTGTGCCCAGTGCTCTCCATGCCCCACTTACCTCCTCCACCTTGCTGAAGACTCGGAGCAGGTTCTCGGCCAGGGCTGCCCTCACGTCTTGCTCTGTCCAGTTCCTCTTTAGCAGCTCGGCCACCAGCGCAGGGTATGTGGAGACGTCCTCCAGGCCGGTGGGAAGCCTGCGCCACATCACGGCTCACAGCTGGGCCAACCCTCAACCCCCCCAGCTGCCCCCACAGGGCACAGGGGAGACCCTCCCCCTCCAGGAAGTCCCCAAGACAGGGACAGACTGTCCCATCAAACCAGTACACCCCATCCCGCACCCATCACCCCTTTACCCTGAGACCCCGTCGTAGTCCCCACCGAAGCCAACAGACTGGGCACCAGCCACCTTCTTTATGTGGTCCATGTGGTCTGTGGGTTGGGGGGGCCAGGGTGAGTGGGGTGAGAGCATCACTGCCACACCCCACTCGCCTGGACACCACCTCACCTGCGACATCGGACAGTGTGGCTGTGTCCGCACAGGTCACGTAGGCATTGTAGAAGTTGACCATCACCAGGCTGCCCGTCGTGGCCTGGAGGAGACAGCCCTGAGTCCAGTGCCCCCCCATGC